GCCTTTGGCCTCAGCCGCCGCTAGATGCGTCATAACAACAACAACAATGGCGGACTACTACTACTTGTTTGTAAACAGCGCATGCTCCATGGCTTCTCTTCTGGTTTTAGTGTATTGGTGTGGCGGCGTCACAGCGCCACATACAGGCCTGGCATATGTACTACAGCGTTTTGGGTCGTTGTCAGTGAATCCGTGTGGACACATATATTTCTGGAAACGACGCCGTGTTTACGGGGGAAGATTTGTGTGTCAACAAAAATACAAAAAGATTGGCAAAATTTGAAATAAATGGAAAATGGACAGCAATTATATAGCACCTTTCAAGTCTTCTGACCACTCAAAAAGCTTTACACTACACGTCACATACACACACCAATGCACATCATCAGGAGCATTTTGGGGTTCAGTATCTTGCTCAAGGACACTTTGACATGTAGTGAAAGGAGCCCCTACCTCCTGTGCCCCAGCTTCCCTATATACTAAATATATTCTGTATTGCTAGTGACGCATTACAACCCAGCAATAGCACACCTTGTTTTCATAAGCTTACAGCTAATGCTAACAGGTAATCAAGGGAATACTTCACCATTTTGGAAATGTTTGGCAGAGAGTTAGAGGAGAAGATAGATTGTATCAGCATTGGGCAGAGCGAGGCAAAGCTATGCTAACAGGCTACTGATTGTAGCTTCACGTTTAGCATACAGCCTGAAAGTAGTACCAATCTTCTCATTGAACTCCAGCCAATATGTTTATTTCCACACATGTTGAGCTATTCCTTTAAGGACTTTTTCTCTACAGAGTGATCAACTAAAGAACCTGGACAGGAAAGCCACAGTCAAGTGTCATACCAGTTTGTAAAAAATGGTAACGGATGAGTGTATCACAACATCTCCAAACATTTTCAATGCAAATAAAACTCATTTTAATTATCCACAATTTACAGGTCAAATCTTATTGCACCCAATGTCTTCTGAGATTATTTTTTCAATTTTTCCATGTCGACCAATCAGAGAATGTGTAGGCATGTGTGTGTGAAATTTAGCCCATTCCCCTATCTACAAGATCTATAAAGCCTAGAGCTTTTTAATAAATATTTTGTGGGCTTTTATTTCCTACTTCGATAGTGACAGCTGAAGAGAGAGAGGAAAGGGGGGAGAGATAAAGGACATGACAAGCAGCAAAGGGCCACAGGTCAGAGCCAAACTGCTGCAGTAAGGACTCAGCCTTGGTAGAAGGGTCACCAGCTCTACCAGGTGAGCTATGAGGGCGGGCGACCCTTAATAGAGCTTTTTATAAACCATATATCAAAGATGTAAGCAAAAATGTAATTAAGTAATCCTTCACAACACAACTACAATTTAACTACACATTTTGAAATGTAATCTGTGCAGAGATTACATACACCACAGATTACGGAAAGTTGGGACGAGTCTGGTGAGACTGCATGGTGACACCTTTGCAGGTGACGAGGAGCCTGTGGATGCTAATACAGCTAGCACAAGCAACAACACGCAAGACACGGATACTTAACACTTTGCAGCCACAACTGAGCTACAACTGGACCGAGGTCTATGGTAATCACGGCAAAAAGGCTTCTTTGTCTGTTTTTGTTGGAAAAGCAATGAACACAATGACATGAAATTCTGAAATGAGACATTTGTCTTCCATTTTGTTTAAAAAAAATGTTTGGGGTTTCCCGGTTTTTTATAAAATATATGTATCTGAAGGTAAGCAATGTCACTTATATAAAATTGGCTTATTTTAATTTAGAATGGAAAGTAAATGTCTTTATTAAAATGTTAAGAACCGTATCAGATGCATCATAGGGCATCACATTGTATCGCACCCAACTGTTACATACTGTATATCGCTTTGCTTACAGTATCGTAAGCATATTAAAATGCATCGTCCCTAAAATGTATCTAGATACGTATCGGATTGTCTTAGAAGGGACAGATGCACACCCCTACTTAGTATAGTACATTATGTTAATCTGGCCATCTTACTCAATATGAATCTACTAGCAGTCATGAAAGATGACTGGACTGTCCTAAAGAAGGTAAAGAGGGTGAAGGTCATTTCGTCAGCTTTGGAGTTGTCATGGCAAAAAATGTATTCAAGGCAAGATGGATTATTAGAGATGAGGTCGACTAGAGATGTTGGTCTGTGGACCACTGACCAACATATGGCAAATTACCTGACATGGTATTCAGCAAGGTCAGAAATGATTGAGCCTGCAGCAGATATACCAGAAAGAGTTCAATAAACATAGCTACCCTGCTGATATTTAGAAGCCCCCTTTTAACGTTTCACCCTGCTCACATTTGATTTCTCAAAAGTTCATGTCGCACTGTTGTCCCCCAGGGGCCTCTGCTGCTGAGTCACAGGAATCTCTGACCGGGTGAATGTTTCTAGACATTCTGGGTGACAAAAATGGAACAGTGTTGATCTGAATATAAGTGAAAACACAGCCTAAAGCAGGGGAAACTGTCGGCACCACACAGCCGAGAAAAAGGGCTGACAAAACAAATCACTGCATCAAACAATTTAATAAATAAAACAACTGATAAAAAATATTGGGGTAAAGAGGGTAAGATGAGGAGAAAAGTAGAAATAAAATACCCAGCAGTGCACTGTTGTGTGCTGAGGAGCCACCATCAAGATGATTGATGCTGGAGGGGCCCATCCGGTCAATCTTAAACAATATTAAGCACTCTCTGAGATGAGCTGATGCAGCTATGGGGCACCTTCAGCGTTCAGCTCTTCCCCTGCATCCATTATATGGTGGCTGCCATCCAGCCACAACATCACTCACAGACGAGTGTCTGCAAATGACCTGCACATTTCACTACAAATATGCATATATGTTCTTTTGGACATGTAGCATTCAATCAACAAATATGATATGACCTTGAAAATTACTGATTATTTTCATTGAACCAGAGTTAGCGCGATGTTACATTTGTAACATCTACAACAACTAACATTACCCAAGCAAGCATGCTAGAAATGTCTCGCATTATACAAACGTAACATTGGTGTTATGTTCAGAACATTAATGTGAGAAATTAGTAGCTTATCATGTGTAAATACATAACTGGCTGGTCACAAGGTACCCCTAACCCCTGTTGTAAGCGGATCTTGGTTCTGGACCAGTTGGTGCCATATTGGAAACAGTTTTCCTAGCCACAGTCAAAACGCAAAAAATGGTTCGAGATTGGGCACTGGCTCCGAACCAGCCCTCAAACTAAGGGTAAGAGTGACATACAGCATATATACCCTCTGTGTTTTTTCTTAGTAAATTCTCTTCTGGCGTTTGACCTCATATTCAAAAAGCAGGTCAAACATATGACATATTGGTTCATTACAAAACAGAAAAAAAAAAAAAAATTCCCTTACTTTCCATGAAACACCTTCTCCACATAAGCCTTCATGAACTGCCTCCTCTCCACCGTCTCAGCGTCAGCGTCCTCTCCACTGTGAGCGGATGAAGATGACGACCTCCTCAGCTCCCACATATGAGAGGGCGGGTCCATGTCGTTCTCGCTGTCTGCCGACTCTGTAGCATCGCTGTCATTGTCTCCCTCCTCTTGGTGGTGATGGCGGTGGTGGTGTGAGCTGGGCTCAGTTGGCACCATGGGCTCTGGCAGTAAGGGCTTCTGGTGGACTCCCATGGAAGACGCCGGCTCTGGGGAGAAAAGGTCTGTATGGCCTTGTTCCTGGCCTACATCTACACTAAGAGTTGTGGCCTCTGAGGGCATGTCAAAGTCTATTAGGTTGTCCACTGCTACGCCCTCCATGTTGGAATTAAGTCCCTTCCTTTTAGCTCTGCAACAGTGCTTTCAGAGTGAGCTATTCGGCGCTCTGCAGGAACATGAGGGTGGACACATACATAGTTGCCAGTTGGAGGTTTCAGCTGCTGGGTTTGGATTTTGCAGACCCTCCCACCCCTGAGGGTGCTGACATCAAGTGAATTCACAAACCCAATGCATCTGTGAACAAAGTCAAAAACAAATTACCATTGTGGTCATCTTTTACATCCAGTTAAATGTACTGGGTAACCTAATATAACAAAATGGCACTGAGAGGTAAACAATACAGAGACTACACCTCTGTAAGGCTGTGCTTTGAGCTAACGTCAGCATGGTAGCATGCTGACAATGACAATGCTAACATGCTGATGTTTAGCAGGTATAATATTTAAAATGCACTATCTTAGTTTAGTGAATTAATGTGCTAACTAGGGCTGTGTATTGGCAAGAATCTGGTAAAATGAAGCTTACAACGTTTGCTAATTGGCAATAAACATGTCATAAGGCTTTGGTCATAAACCAAAGTATAGTATATAGTATCCTGAGAAAAATATGAATGTCAGTTGATCCAATATTTGTCCAGATATTTCAGCCTGGTCCTGATCAGCTGACTGATATTGCAATCCTTATGCTACACGGCTAACATGGCTAAAAATAAGAATTTCAACTGAATCTTTAGCCTGAATCTTTGAAAAAGGTCCACATAAAGCTGCTGCCAAAGAGGAGGGAGGAAAAATGTTTATCACTGGTGAGTCCAGTTTCCTCTGGATACAGCGCTACTAACTGCTATTTAGCAGACAGTTTGGATTTCACTCAATTTCTATTTGACACTTAGCTGAGAATGAAGTGCTTGGCCCTGACACCATCTGAGGTGTGTTTAATTTGTCCTTCCTACTGAGTGTTTTATCTCCTCTCTCACTACATCGTGTGCCTACCAGGATGTAACTTAGAGGAAGGGAAATGTTTGCTTTTATCATCATAAAAATCAACTCTATAGGCCTTTTTCACAGCAGACATTTTGGCATGTCACAGACAGATAATCACAGGTGCAGGTAATGATATTAATAATGGCTGCAGCCTCTTAGGTGCATCAGTTTCAAGGTCTTTCTGTTGTCCATGCTGTATACTTCAATGGTACAGAGCAATCATTAATGATCTCTGTTACTCCTGTGCTTTCCCTAAAGCCTGATAATCCGACTAAAAACACTTTGCCATCACAGTAGAGAAAGCAGGTGTTACTATTAACATTATTGATGACGGCTGCATTCCATTTAGGTAAGCCATTTCTTGGGTCCTGTATTGTGCACACTGGAATGACATACTGGGACACTTATAGGACTTTTCCATTGGGACTTTTGGCCATGTTGAGTCAAACCATGTGGCACTGATTTGCATTTCAATTGCCAGTTTAAGCACACCTAGTTGTGCTGCGCAGTGCTCGAGATGAACCATTTGCACAGTCAGGCCAAAGCGAGTCCAACCGCCTCTAAACGGAGGTGTCTTGTCGGCTGCAGCCAACCCGATGTATGGAAAAGGACTATAAATGGAACGGAAGCAATCACAAAAATAAGTAACGGTAGTACTTACACCCTTTAAGTAAATATGCCTGCTGTGAAAAAGGTCTACTGTGATTTTGTTTCACTATTATTGCAGTGTAACGTTGTGTTCATGTTAGTCAACATTTTTCACTGTTTTCAGAGGTTTTATAGACATTGATCAACATTTATCAGTATTTTCTGACATGTGTTTCCCAAAGCCTAAGGCGACGTCCTCAAATGTGTTGTTTTGTCCTCAACCCAAAGATATTCAGTTTACGGTCATAGAGGACTAAAGAAAGCAGAGAATATTCATATTTGCAAAGCTGATATCAGAAAATGTGGACATTGTTTCTTAAAAAAAGGACTCAAAATGATTAATCCACTATCAAAATAGTTGGTGATTATTTTAATGATTGATTAATCGACTAATCGTTGGAGGTTGGTTTTAAGTAGGGAAGGGCGTAGGGAAGTGATTCAAAGGTTTGCATCGAGGCTACTTTTCTCGCCCGGAATATGTCTGTTGTACAGAAGTGGTATTATAGATGATGTACAACAATTTTCGAAGTAACAGCAGAAAAAAGTGAATGTGAAAAAGCATAAAAGAGCGATTAATAAAGCAACAAGTGTGGGATCAACAAAAAGACACAAGCATATGAGGCTTTAAAAGGCAACAAACCTGTCAACCCATTTGACTCTTCAACCTCTTTAGCACACATAAAAACTCTATTTTAATGGGTTAGGTGTGAAAAGGCAAGTAAGGTTATTTCCTGTAGCTGCTGATCAGGGTTTCCATTCAGCTATAACTAATGTTAGCTGAGCAGGTTTTTGCTGGCTGGCATGAAAAAAAACTTCCTGATAGGATACTCTTGTGCTTCCTTGACCTGAGGTTGTAGTAAGAGACTTTAGGTTAGGACACTGCAGCATATCAGTTTTAGGCTCACAAACAGAAAAGCAGAAGAGAACAGGACACATCCCAGAATTTCAGCTAATCATGCCCAGAGTGGCTTTAAACATGTTAGCTGTTCCATTTGCTTGTATTTATGAAATCAAGTGACTTTTGAAGCTAACTTGTTCCTTTTTAGTCGCACGTCAGCATTCATATCATGCAAATAACAGGAAGTTGAAATCATTGATTGAAAACCACAAAGACAGGAAACTCAAATCTTAAACTGCATATCTGATCCATTCAAACAATTTCCCACAATCACAAACTGTCTGCTGCACTTCTGTACATTTATTGTGTAACTCAAACAGCACTGTACTCAACACTGGTTGAATGTCAAATAAATGACCCAGTCACAGCGCAGTTTTATACTGCTGACTCCCACTCAGGACTTCCCAGGACTCTTCACCCTGTCCTCACACCCTCTGAGGAGGAAAACAGCAACAGCTGGCTAGCCTTCATACACACACACATCCTGCACTCTGTCCTTGGGCTAATCTGCTCCACTAGCTCCTCTATCAGAGGGCACTGTTTGGTCTTGTGATTGGACATCCACAGCTATACCGCTGTTAGCCTAAACACACATACACACACTCGCAGGCTAGGAGCCCTTGGGCCTGCTGTATGTTTGGGCTGCAGCTCTGAAGATGAGGTGGTTATGTAATGCAGTATTTAGTGAGCAAGACCCAGGGTGACACATTCAGACAGACAGACACACACACACAGCATGAGGGCAAAGATAAACACACGCATATACACACAAGCACACACACACACCTATATGTAACATGTTAAAATGTCAGCAAAAAAGGAGGAGAAAACAAAATGTAAGAAAATGATTTCATTGCCTCTCAAGCTGAACCTAAATAACTAGGATGGGCCTATATTTAAGCCATCCTGTCGGTTTAAAATCCTATAATTACTGGTCTCAATTATGTGCCATCTGGAGGAGAGTAATGTCCTTCAGCCACTGCTGAAACTGCAGCTGCTGTAGTTGATGACACTGTAGATCTGTCCAAAGCTTTTGATACTAATATTTTGTCAAATAAGCAGCTTTTCATTGGTTTTGGTGACTCTGCTATTGTTGCTGATGGCTTCAAATCAAGTTCAGGTGGTTTGAGGTGTCAAACAAGGATCAATTAGGGCAACTGTTATTTACTCTAAACAGAAATATTTCATTTTCAACTGAACATTGCAATGTTCATTTTTATGCTCTTAATACAATCTTGTACGTCACTGGCTCCACAGGTAGGAAGTACGGAAGTAGTGTTTTTAGGTATCCGTACATATTGTTTTTCAGACAACTTTTTACTTTTACTCCCTACTTTTTCACACAAATATAATATGTCTTACATTTTCAAAACAGGATTGTTACTGTAGTTACTTTAAACTTTAGGTTTGTTTTGCCACCTCTGGTTGGCTGTACCGCAACCCAGGTTTTCTCAGCACTGCTTTTTCTGCTTCTATTCATTTAAAGCTTCTGAAAAATAAAATAATAAAATAAAACATATTTTAAAGCCATTTTTGTTATTTAACATGAGAGAGCTCTGTATTTGTGTTGATTTGAAGGGTGATGTCAGGTACCTCTGTGCACCAGTTAGGGTTGAGCAACAATCTGATAACAGCTGGTGGGTTGTTTGGCCACTGTCAAACAAATCTGATCAAACCACACCCACACAGTCCATTTATTTATTTATTTTTTGTATATTATGTTTTCATTCATCATGTGTTTGAATTATTATAGTTTTGTATTTTTTGTTAGTTAAGTTAGTTTCCAGAGTGGGATTGCTCATTTCAGTTTAGTTTGAATTGTTTAAAGTTTTAGTCTTAGTTTTGTTATTATAATATGGAGCTATTTGTCAGAATAGCTATTAGAGTACAAACACACTGACTCCCAGTTAGGGTTAGTCAGTCTCAATAAATGCATGCACCAACGCCTCCTCATGCTTGCTGTGTTAACAGATTTGACCAAACTGACAGAGATTAAAACTAAAGAAATTTCCTTTATGTTTTTATTTTATTTTGGTTAGTTTTGTAAGTACTTTTTTATTTATTTGTATTGTTATTTCAGTTTAAGTTAACTATAATGACTTGGGTTTGATTGACTGCTCTGCATGACTGGACTGTTTTGTTTCTCTGGGAGCAGAAATCTTCCTGAATAAATAAAAAAAAAATGTTTTCATGCAGAAAAGGCAAAGTGACATCTTAGCAGGAAAACAGAGCATATGTCCCACAGTTCATCAGTCTTACTGGCGATACTGGAAGTGTGATGACTGGAGTGCTCAGTAAATCAGTGTTCCTTCACTCAGACTGCAAAGGTTGCAGTATTTCTGCTTTCATGAGCCTGAAGGGGAGCCTACACCTCCAACACACACATGCACAAACAAACACTAAATGACAACCTGCCCCTACACACCCCCTGAGGTAACGTGCAGAGAGGGAGGTGCTTCTTTCACGATGGAAGACCTGAGTGATTTAGTGGAGAGGATCTTTGCTTGTTGCTGTCAGATGTGCAGCACAACAGCATCACAAGACCCGTCCTGCACCCTCTTCTCATCTTCAGTGCACTTGATGATTCACACATGGAAGCGTTACGCAACGTGGCCCCGAGCCTCTCCCACCACCCCCAGGAAATGTTATTCAGCACACTCATCCGCAAAAACATGGTTGAGCAAGATATGAGCGAGGCTGGTACCCTCAACACTCACGCAGTCTCACAGTTCATCTATCTCTGTCACCCTGGGTTTATGAGCAATATGCGGCAAATGCAAAGCAATCAGTCAGCTTTTCTTCCATGTCAAATACCGTATTATAGAATATCAATTCAGCATGTGGGCAAGGTGCTTTCAAAGGCCCCTTCTCAGACCACTGGTCCATTACCCAAAGTGCTCTCTCAGGCATTCCTGAACAATGTTCAGCCTGATTGAGGTAGGAACCAATGCCCAACTGGGGACTTCCCTGACCCACAATCCTTTGCCTTCCTCGTGTAAGTTGAGAAGGCAAGTTGCTCGGAATTCTCATTATTGTGTCTACTGGGACGTCTAAGTCACCAAAGCATAAGCACAGAGTGCATTTCTTGTCCCACCACTTTTGACACTTCAAAAAGCTGTGATTTTCTTCCTTCTCTTCCTTGTAGGTGGCTTTAAGGTTGGTGTAATCCTACTGCAGTATAATCCTATGACAGTATTATTAATGTATTCTCAGGGAGATTGTTCCAACTCTTCATTTGTTGTTCCAACTCTATTCATTCAAGTGTTTCCCAAAGCCCAAGCTGATGTCCTCAAATGTCTTGTTTTGTCCACAACCCATTGATTAATTCAATAGCTGACTAATCAATTAATCAACTAATTGTTGCAGCTTTAATCATATTATCATGACTGAAAAGAAAGATGGCCAGAGCTATGAAAATAGTGTTCTAAGTGCAGGAATATGGCCACAGCCTCTTCTAGAGGAGCTTTGGCACAAGTCTGAACTATATCACAAAGAAGTGTTTGTGCTGATTACAGGCGTCAACAGGAGCAGTAATAACTTGTATCACCTTCTATCACCAACAAGTAGGAACTACTGCTATGCTGTCTGGCAACAGCTCGACAGCAATAATAAAGTCACATTGTTAAAATACAGCTTTAAAGCCAAACAGTGTGACATCTACTGCATTCTACTACAGATGACTTACAATACGAAGTTGCTGACATTTTGGTTCTCAGTTGGCCAGGTACACAGTGGAGGGGACAGCACTTACTGCTATAACTGCTCACTACAGGCATGAGTGACAAGCAGAAGTGGCAACACGAATGTAAATTTCAGAGGACCGGCCAGATGTACCGGAGACAGGAGGGGACTGCACTTGAACTGATATAATCTGGCTCTGTACAGGCAACACTCTGGTGATACAATACAGCAACACCACATCGTTTTCAAGGACCGGCAATTTTGGATTTACTGCGAGACAGAAAAACAAGGTGATACCCACAATGGCACTATAAATCAGGGATGTGATTGGTTGATGCCTTTATCTGCATTGTGCATTGCATTGTGGAAAAAAATGATGATGCGCTCTGTGTCAAAGTACTCATGACATACAGACAACAGTCCCAAAAAAACGCCTGCAGTATGTAAAGGCCTTAAGAGTGCAAAACTTAAACTATCAGGGTTTGGCTTTAAGGCACTTCCCACTGAAAGACACTCATACTCACTAACAGCATAACAACGAGAGGTCAAAGAGAACGTGGGCAATCTGTTCAATACTAATACCATGACTACCTCTTGACGCAGCATGTCAAATCTCTCGTTTCATCCACCCTTCAGGTCACATCACAATCTCACATGTAACACAGTGGAACACAAGTAGAGGCAAAAAGCCTGCCTGCGCAATTCATGCTCATTTAGAAGCTAAGAAATATTTCACGCTTTTTCTCCAGCTTTCGAGACATGAGTGGAAGACAAAAAACAGATAAGCCCACGTCATTGATAGCCACAAACATGCACAACTAAAAAAACACTGCAGAGCCAGGGAGGGATGAGCGATGGATGCTGTAAAACCTAGGAGGAAGTTCTCCCCCATGTGCCCTTCCAGATAACACTGAGCACAGTCTTTATCTGTCAACCCAAAGACCCGGAGCCCCATAATATTGTGTCAGGTTGGCATTTCCTTCACTGGCAATGGTTATTAAAGATCCCTAGGTTGATGTAATGGAACAAGATAAGTAGAGTGAATACAGTTTTGAAAGTGTAGTATGGGAATCTGTGATGAATTTAGAAATGACTGTGTAAACTGGCTACATGTTTTTTTTAATTTAATACAGCTCTGCCTCTTGTGTGTGCCGTGTTCACTGTCTGTAGCTATTATATACTCATTATGTACTGCTTTATTTAGGGCTATGTATTATCTGCCATCTGCTTGTGTGCCTGCAACTCTATCATAAATGGATAGAACGATACGCCAGACTCCATTAACAAATCTATCAATTTTAAAATTCACTGCTTGTCAGCGAGCGTGTTTACCTGATTAACCACGACATGGTAGCCACTGCAAATCAAGAGCAGCTATTTTCCAATGCGGCATTCGTGATAGTACTATAAAGCAGCACATATGTTCTAAAATATCATTATTCTTTGAGACAACTCGCTACAACCGATCATGTAAAAGGGCCGACTTTGTTAGAAGAAGCGTGTTGAACTTACTTGAGGACGAATTACAAAAGTTGAAATGTCTTACAAATACAATGCGCTTGGTGGATGATACATGTGCCGAAAATAGATTTATCTCGATAGAGTTGAGAAAAAGCTTTGTGTCATATTTCACTTGGTATTAATCTTAGTCAATAATCAAGGTCACCTTATATTGCAACCTTACTGAACGAGGTTTGGTCTGCGCTGTCTCCATACAGGACAACCAGAATCCGCTGTGAATTAATTAAGATATGAAGTTTAAAACATATGAATGAAACATACTTGGACTCCCATAGTGCAGACCACAGCTTATTATTTAACACAAATGCTGACCAGTGAGTTCAAGTTGCTGGACTGGGCGCACTTGACAGATAGGAAGCAGCGCTGAATAAACACAGCAAAAGGCTGACGTTTCCTGTAACGTTAGCCGCTGGTCCTTTCAGGTAAACGGGGATAGCCCACATCAGTCCGAGGGCGTATGTGCGAGTCAAGCCAAACACACATCAGAACAACTGTAATTCAACGATAAAGGCCAAGATATTACGAGAAGATGAAAATAACCCTCCTCTTTGACCCCAGGACCATTCAATTAAACTGAAATATATGCAAACATGGCGCTCACAAGTCGTAAATACAATAATAAGTCTCGAATGTAAAATTGTATATTTTATGAGACAACAACAGAAGTAACAACTTTACGTACATGAAACGTCCCGTGCTGGCAGTAGAGAGGGGCTGCTCCTCCTTACTGCTGTTTGTGCGTCGTAGGTTTTTGCTCGAGACGGAGGTCTCGAGGTAGAAGAAGAACGCAGGCGCAAACAGAGGTTAGCACGACGAGGGGGGGAACCCAATGACGTCGACGAGCGGCACAGCCAATGAAGCGCGGCCGAGCAGCCGTGGTGCCCCGTCAAGTCAGCGTGAATATTACCGGATGTTTCCTACACAATAAAAGCACGATGACTACATTTGGACCTCGAGCAACAACAGTTTAAGGAAAAATGTATTTTGTGGAAGCGTAAAATTGGGTTTTTAATCAATTATCTCCACTCAAACAGCTATTCGCATTAATTTAATGTTTGTCATAAAATAAATAAATATTTAATCTAAAAAGTATGAATATTTCATTCCATAAACAAAACTGAGGGTAAACTGATATTAGGTTTGTTATTAAATCATTTTTATAATTACATACTATAGCGTCAGTGTACTCAAAGGTTCTCTTTTGTAGAATAAATGTTTTATTTTAAGTGCTATGGTCGGAAATGTGCTTAGCACTCGTCTACACTACCTTGATGTGGGGTAAGCCCAGATACTGCTCAGAATGACGTCATTCCTTAGCCCGTGATGATGCATTACTATATCTCTGCGAGGTGAATGTTAACAAGGCAGTTTGCTTATCATTTGAATATGTTGCTTGGCGTGTGAAATGTATATGTATATAGCTATGGGAAAACAAATTAGTTCCCAAATTTATGGAAAATAAACTTTCATTCACTCACCTATGATTTCCGTTTGCATACACAAACTATGCTATCAGTGTGTTTTAACAAGAGACACATTTCCCTTCTTTGCAATGAAAGTATTTCCTTTAATTAAAGCTATGCAAAATACATGTAGAAAAAAGACACTTATATGGAATTAAAAGACTTGGTTAAAGAAGCACTCTAAATCCATTCTAAAACAGAAGAAAAGGGCAGTAATGAACCCATTAATGACTAATGACTACATATTCTATAGAAAACCCCCACAGATTTAGAGGAGGAAACACAAGATCTGCTGTGGAAACTGTCACACATGCGACTACTCAAAAGTCAACATATTTATCATGCCTTAATTGGTAAACAAAAAGTTGATTTTCAAAAAAGGGGGAAATTTAACTGTTAGGAGGTTAAGGTTATACTTATACATTTTGGTGAGGAGGCATACAAACTTGGGACCAGTACAAATGAAATGATGATGATGAAAATGCAGAGATCAGTTTCCAGGTTTGGCTGCTGTTGCTGCTAACTGCTGCAGCTTCTGAGGGAGGGTGACAGTAGCAAAATGGACCCTGTCCTCCTTCAGTTTCTGTCTCACCGTCTGCGTCAGGCCCAGCTCCATGTACTCCTGCTTCTGCCTGTCATACTGAGGCCAACTGACCACACTAGGACCATTGGGAGAGCTGAGGAGATATTCAAACATGTCAGCGACAGATGTTAGGGCGGTCTATGCAGCAAAGACAATCAGACTTATATGTTTGCTACTGATTTCATATGGTCAGCCTTTACTTTAGACATTTTTCCTTAAGGCCCCACTTTTCTATCATTTATGACTAGTGGTGAAGTGGCATATTTTATGGATATTTCCTATTGTATTCAACACATACAGAAGAACTGATAAACTGTGCAATGAACCCAAATAGTGAACACAATAACTGCAGGATGGTTGTGTAATACAAGAGATTTGGATACATTTTGAGCAGTGTATTATATCATATTATGTTATATATTCTAATATTATATTTCGGATATTTGTAGGATGTATGTGTTTTATTTTGACAGATTCTGTTTTCTTCTCCCTGATTGCCATTGTTCTAATGTAGTTCTAATGCAGAATGTTATCTTAAATAATAATCTAAACTTTTAAAATAACAATATTATTTGTTTATCTTCATGTGAATGCGTGTTATTCTAAAATATAGGATTTACATCCTACATCCTAGACATTTCAAAAATCAAGAAGGCCTTTGCAAACCCCTGTGAAACTTTGGCAACCCCTAGTGGGGGTCTTGACCCAGAGTTTGGGAACCACTGTTCCAAAGCAACTGCCTTATTGCCTGTAATATGAATAGAATGCTAATTACAAACATCCTGTGTACTCATCCACTATTCAGTTCCTCTTCTATTTGACTCTATCCAGTGAATATTTGCTGCTGCAGCATCCCAGTTTGGCTTAACTGTATTTATAAATATCTGCAGATTCTGCTAAATATGGCCATCTTGCTTTGCTGTATCACAGTATAGCATTTTCAGGTTTGCCTAACCTTGCAACAGGTACAAAGTAAGTATCAACTTTCAACTAAGCAGAATCTCTAAGACCTAAAGCTGGGGTAGGCAGGTTTTTTGTCACAGGTCTCTTCAGAATGAGGGCGTTCGTATGAGGGCTGTTCCACAAATGCAGATGCAACTCGAAATTATTTTCTGTTTTAACCTTTGGAACATACACTCTGTAACTGTCCTGTGATCTGCTGACCACTGAGCAGTTGGGGTTAAGGGCCTTGCTCAAGGGCACTTAAGCAGTGGTAATGAGGGAGGGGCAAGCGCTGCTACTCGAGATATGAGGTAAGAGGTTTCACTGCTGTTCAACAGGTAGGGTGGGGGGGGGGGGGTTAGGAAAGTGATACCCGCAGAAGGAAGTTTTCATGTGTATGTTCAAACTGCTGACCCCTATATTAATTTTTTCAAGTTGTAAACACAAGACTGACAAATCATCTTTTAAATGTGCTATGGTGAACACATCCAGCCGACACAGAGCAACATTCAGTTGGAATGCTAATGATTATAGCTCAGCAAAACAATGCAGATAGCGCAGTACATAAAACCGAAACAATGAACTGAAAGATGTTAAAAGCTCCATAGAGGTAACGGGAACTGCACTCAGGTGATAATTCTCTGTGGGTTTGTCTGTGTAAGAGACCCCTTTCACACTCCTTTGGTCTATTTTTCTCTATTGTCAGTATAAAAATATTGGTTAGTGCAGCTTTAATGACACTGTTGTTCCAAATGCATACTCACCCAGCACGGGCAAAGTTGGCCCAGTATGCCATCATGGTCCTACAAAGTCTTTCATCCTCCTTGGTAATGTTGCCTGAAGATGGGACAGGAGGAGTTTAATCACAAAATCTAATACGGATACCAATTAGCCGTGAGCTGAAGTGACAGCAAATTAAGCTATTTGACCTCAAAAACATTATTGTGGCACATTAGTAAAGTACTGAATAGAACTTTACCAGAGTCTAAAATGTGGCCTTAACAGCTCATTCAATTAATTTCCGCTTTTCAACACGTTGTTTCTTTTTAATTAATCTAAATTTGACAGCATTTGACACCAAACTGGGCTGGCCAGGCATTTTTTAGGATGGCAGCTGCCACCCCTGCTCCCACCCATTCCAAAAAGTCCAGAACTTGCTTTATATTCAATCCCTACCTACTAGGCCCTCACACATTTTTAATGAGAAAATACCAGAGCAGAAGAGCCCATTTAATCTAAAAATGTATATTCAGGGTAGCACATTACACACAACCTACCTATGATTTTTATGTGTCCATTCCAGAAGCATCCACCAAACATGAATCCGACATCATCTGCATGATCTGCTTTCACAAAGCTGGGCCTGGTGTGTCTGTGTATCTCAGCACGGTGTACAAACTCATACATGTAAACTGGAACACCCGCATCTAAATTCAGCAGGGAGAGAAAGGAGGAGAGGTGTATGCTTGGGCTGAGATGAAGTTCAAAGATCAAGAGCAAGTAGCTTATCCTTGTGGGTAATGATCGATGCATGAACTCTATGAGGCACAGCGTTCCCCATACCAGGCTGAAATGAGATTAAAGGAGCATCCAGTAATCTATAATCTGTACCAGCAAAATGCACCGACATTGACGGGATACTCAGGCCTTTAAATGTGACACAATCACTTATTCACTGTGCTGTCGAGATGCTCTTTCTCTGCTTTGCCCCCCTCTGACCTGAGTGGTACCCGGCCACCTTGACCACAGGCAACGTCATCAGCAGGTCTCCCACGACCTCAGTGAATCCGTCTCTGATCTCCTCTGGTGTTTTAGCGTCTTTAAGGTATTCATCTGCGATGAGTCTGTTGACAGAGGAGGCCTGAAACAGGGAAGTGTAACAACACATTATGTAATAACTGTAATAAATGCTCACTTCATTATGTTATAACATTTGGTAACAATCTGCAACATTGCCTGAACCCAATATGCAATACATTCCCCACATTGCGTAATAAATTATTATGCAATGTGGAAGTCAAACTTTTATTTTATGAGGTGCATTTTGCATAAACTGAAGCTTTTGTGTAAATATGGAAATTTTTGTTTAGTTTAGGAGCACTAGGAGGAGCAAGAGGAACCTGATTGTTTCACAGATTATCTGTCTCATGTACTACTGTCAGGATACAGTGAAAGCTTCAGTGAATATGACAAAACGTTTTTTTATAAAAAAAATACCTACTGCAGCTTTAAACAGTCAGATTAAACTCAGAATTGTCATAATAAATGAATATATATAAAAACAGCTCTCCAGCTTCAATCAGAACCAATCCATCTGTTTTCCTTTGGGCCTTCCCTATAGGGGGTTACATCTCTTACATCTGCATCACACCTCAAACTCTATGAGAAACTAATTTTAATTGCTTGAAAGTGCATATTGCACCATTGAATCAAAGACCCCCTGTCAAATGTTACCCTTTGGTACAGAGGGATTTTTAACACTCTCCCCCATGAAAGATTACAGGCTGTCTCAAAAGGAGAAGATGAGCTATTCCTGAAGATTTGGTCTTCTTTTCTAGATTTCTAGACCTGCAGACCTGAAAAACGTACTTCTAAAGGGATGTGGAAGACCCGTCACATAAGCCCATTTATGATATTGCTTCTGATGACTGGTTACCCTAAAACTCAGGTACATATAGTGGACTGTAAACTATGCGTTACTTAATTTCATATGATTAATTATAATACTTTGTGAATGTATATTTAGGTTTAATTCTGTTATTCTTTTTCTCTCTCTCTCTTTAATTTTCACTTTTATTTTTTATTATTATTTTGTATTGTCTTGGATGGGTGTTGGTATTGTGTGTTGTGTTCTTTGTTTAAACTCAATAAAGAAGTGTATATATATCTATATATATATATAATTATCATAACAGAGCTCACCCCTGTTGGATTGAACATGTTCATCACTGCCAGCACAGACTCTCTGTTCATACCGTTCTCCCAGCCAGGAGGGGCAAAGCTCTGTGATCAACATGAGACAATAT